CGAGGGCAGTTAATGGCCCCTCGGCCTCGGCGCCTCGCGCGGCACACTTCCGAAGAAACGCGTCGAAACAAAGGCGACCAAATAGACGAGCGCCTAGAGAAGCCCGCACCTCGCGGCCACTTCGAGCGCGTCATGTAGAGCTCCATGATTAACGCCCGTCGACCTAGTTCAGCGCGGTGCGCGATGTCGGTCCGGTCGGTGTCCGCGGCCGTGTCTTCCTTGTCCTGGGCGTCCTGGGCAAACACACCGGCCGGCCGGCCCGCCCCGCGGCCTGCCCCGCGGCGTCGACTCCATCCAGGCCGTCGTCGACGTCCGCCATATCCGGCCGCCAGCAGACTGACTCCGAGAGTCGTTTCCGTCGCTCTGTCTCTCTCACACTCATGGGTCGTCCCGGAAAGGTGCGAGAGAGACAGAGCGACGAAAAAGTCTCTCGGAATCAGTCTACAGATACACGCCGCGGGGCGCTAGACAGAGAGATCGCGCGAGCGAAGCCGGCAATCGGGAGGAACCTTCAACTAGGGCGCGACTTTGGGGCAGGGCCAGGGGCCACTCCGAGGAGGCGGACAGGCAGACAGACAGACGGACAGACAGACGAACAGACGGGCACGCAGGCGGACAGACAGAGTTAGAAAAGGCGCGACGAGTATCTTCCAGCGCTGAGACGCACGTGCTGGGTACCGGTTGGACCGCTACAGTCCCCCCCCCCTCTTTCCCCCTTCCATACAAGACATTGGTCCTGGCCGGGCCAATATAGGCTTTGTTTTTTGGACGCCCCGCGTTGAGCGTTGCCCGAAGCGGCTGCGGGCACCGCCATGGGACGGACCGCCATGGGCGCCGCCATGGGCACCGCGCGGTACACTCGTCGGTCCACGCCGTCCAGCAGTACGAGTCGCCAAGTTCGCAGCAGCACGAGAATTGCGCTTTTCGCGAGTGCCTCTAGTGCCCTTCGCCGGAACAGTTTTACCGCCGTTCGTCCAGGCGCCCTCTCGTTGCCGGCGCGTCCACCGCCATGCTAACTCTATTATCGTCTCTCTTTTTTCGGCCTTTTCCCGCCCTTTCCTCTTTTTTTATTTGTGGTGGATTGTCCTGGGTGGGCAGGGCTGGGCAGGGCTCGCGGCGCAGCACATCCTGCAGGCCCTGCCCGCCCTGCCCGCAGACAGAATACATCACATCACATCCTGGCCGTGTCCTGCACGGCCTGCACGGCCTGCATGGCGGCGCACCCCGCCCTGTCATCACCGCGGCATTATAATGCCTGCATTCGCCGCGCCGTCCGCCGTCCGTCGCGCCTCGCTCGACGCCGCGCTGCCACGACACGGCCCCCGGCACAGCGCGCAGCGCCCCCGGCCGGGTAGGCCGCCGCCGACGCCGCCGCGGCGTCCACGAGCACGTGCCACGTGCCCGACAACAATCAGCGCGCCCCCCCGCCGCGGGACGGCCGGGACGACGGCCGGGGCGGCCGGGGCTTGACGTTGACGGGGCCCTCCGGCCGGCCGGTGCCCCGCACAGTGGACCAGAAGACCGGTGGTGGCGGCCAAAACTCTAGACGCGTTTTGAGCTCCAGAGTCGCTAAATAGGCCTCGAACCGACCGTGTGACCCCACCAATGGGTTCCTCGTTCGGAGAGTAATCCATTGGTGGGGTCACACTTTCGGTTCGAGTCCTGTTTAGCGACTCTGGAGCTCAAAACGCGTCCAGAGTTTTGGCCGCCTCCACCGGTCTTCTGGCCCACTGTGCCCCCCCCCCCCCCCCCCCCCGAGACCGCGACCACCGCGGTGGCGCGATGGGAGCGAGGCGCGGCTGACAAATGGACGCGGACGGACGGACGTCCCTCCGGTTCAAATTTGCGAGCCGAGCGCCAGCGGGGACCGCTGAACCATTAATGCCGTCTCTGTCGCTCTCGCGCCGAATCGCAGGCAAAGCAGCGCGAAGGCGGCAGAGAAGAACTGCCGGCATTAATCACGTCACCGTTTGATTCGCGGGCCAGGCTCTCCTCCACTGTCCGACCGACTGCGGACTGATTCCGAGAGTCGTTTTCGTCTCTCTGCCTCTCTCACAGCTAAAGGGACGCCCCTTGAGTGCGAGAGAGACAGAGCGACGGAAACGACTCTCGGAATCAATCGGCTGGCCCGGGTTCGCGCCCCGCCACAGGCAGCCGCCGCGCGCAGATCGCCGCCGATCCTCGTTGACGCGTGACCGGCCGGCCGGCTACACTGTTTTCCTAGCCGCTCTTCTTATTTGCAGCAACTTTCTTCTAACGAGGAAAGTTTCCACATGCCTGGTGCGCCGCACCGTGCCTCGCTGGCTTGCTGCCTCTGCCCGCCACTGCACACTGATTCCGAGGGTCGTCCTCGTCGCTCTGTCTCTCTCGCACCAATACGGGGCGCCCTGCAAGAGCGAGAGAGACAGAGCGACGAAAACGACTCTCGGAATCAGTCTGCTGGAGCGAGCTGGAGCGCCCTTACCTCCGTGGACCGCGCGGATCGTATTTCACGCAGCGGTAGCGGAGCGGGTTGCGGGTACCAGTGTACCCGCGGGCAGCGCGGCGAGGGCGGCGGGGGCGTGCTGGCGCGGTGTGCGTTTCACGCGCGCTTTTGACGCTAGTATTTCAAGTCACCGGTCGTAACTTGGCCGCGGAGGCCGGCAGCGCGACAAAGCGAGCGCGGGCAGACGGCGTGGCGGGGCGGTGCGTGGCGTGGCGGGGTGGGGCGGTGCGGGGCGGGGCGGGGTGGGGTGGGGCAGGGCAGGGCGGGGCGGGACGAGGCCGCGAAGACAGAACATCTCAGCGCGTCGCACTTTGCCGCGCTCCCTTTCGTGCCCCAAACTAAAAGCATACCGGCCAACTTGGTGGCCTGTGGCCTGGCCGTGCCGCGGCGCCCCCGAGCGCGAGGACGGAGCACCGAGCCAACGAACGCGCCGCGAAGGCCACGGAGGCCATGAAGGCCACGCACCGGGGCCGTTACTTCCTCCACGACAAGGCGCAACGGTACTCCACGGTACTCGCCAGGGGATCAGCAGGAGCGCGCCCAACTAGGTGTCGCCGTGCTCAGCGGCACTACACCACAAGTTGGAACGGCCAAGCCCAGGCTGCGACTTCGCGGCCAGACGACGCGGTCCTGGCGGGTCGACAGTGGTGAGCCCCGCAGCCGCGGAGACAAGACGGCGCGACGACAGGTCCGAGTCCCAGGACGGCGACGGGGTGCGCTGAGGGGGCGGAGGAGGTCGATCGATGGCAGGGGTAATGAGGTGCCTCGGAGCCCCTCGCGGGGTGCGGCGGGGCGCGGCGGGGCGGGGCGGGCCCCCAGGTGGGAAGCGAGCAAGACAATAATCCCGGTCCCTATCTCGGCTTGCTCCGCCCGCCCTCCATGCAGGGCGTATCGCACCTCGTGTTTACTCGCCAGCGCGCTGTTTGCCACGAGCTACAAGCACTGCGCGGCCTGCCTCGCTCTGTCTCTCTCGCACTCGTGGGGCGCTGCGTCGGTGCGTGCGAGAGAGAGAGAGAGAGAGAGAGAGAGAGAGAGAGAGAGAGAGAGAGAGAGAGAGAGAGAGAGAGAGAGAGAGAGAGAGAACACCGTTTGAGCCTGCTGCACCGCGCCCACGCACTGCCTTGTCATACGCGGCATGGGCGCCAATCAACACCAGACTGCAGTCACTGCAGTGGATAGTGTAAGAGCGGTGCGGCCTTGGCCTGCCTCGACTTGGAGTCGAATCGGATTAGCATGGCGAGCGAAGTGAAGTGAAACGAAGTGAAGCTATTGGCTCGGCCGCAACACCCTCACGTCGTGAGCCGCACGTAGCCTGCATCGGGCCTGTACTGCAAGCTAGGGCAGCACCTCATGTGGAGCATGTGGCGTGGCGCTCAGCGCGCGGGAACCCTGCTAAAACACTGAGGAAGCCGTCGGGACACCAAGGTACCAGGTTCGAATACCCGGTGCTGAGGTTTTTGGTTTTCGTATGTAGCACACAGTGTGAATATAACGGGTGTCTGGCGGCAAGGCAAGCCCTACAGGGCAGCGTTTACAAACACGTGAGGGGAAAGGGAGGGGAGAGGCCGGTCTGACCGATGCCCTTGGCCTCCGGCCTCCCGCCCTTTTCCAGCGGCTGGACCTCGGCCCTCCTGGAGCCTGGAACCTGGAACCTGGAGCCCGGCGGCCTGCGTGGACGTCACGCTGCAAGCACGCTGGAAGCACGCCCGCGGGCGCAGGGCACGGTGGCACGCAGCGAAGGGTAGGGCTGGCCGAGCTGGATTCCTAACCTGCAGTGTGCGTGCGAGTGAGAGTGAGAGAGAGAGGCAAGCGGCCGCGAAGGACGCGAAGATTACGCGGACCAGGCCCAGGGCAGCCCACGGCAGAGTAGTGTCGACAACATCAATTCCGCCCGGCCTCCAATAAAAGGGGCCCGATGCTCCAGATCTGCCGTTGTTGTCTCGACCCGCCCCTTTTCGCACGGCCAGCACGCCCCTACACCGGCAGACCGGCACGGCCAGCACGGCCCAGCACGCCCAGACACCGGTCGTTGCGGACGGCCACCGGCTTGCACTAATTGCAGGACAGACCCTTCCCTTCCCGCCCTCCGAACACCGAGCCCCGTCCCGTCCCGTCCCGTCGGTCGAGGCCCTGCCGGTGCACCTGCGCCATCGGCCACCTGCCGCACCGCCGCGTCCCCGAGGCGAGGCCGGCGAGGCAGCAAGGCGCCCCGGACGAGCACCGCCACCCCGCGCGACAGTGTGGTGTACACGATCCTGAAGGCGACAGCGCCGCGCGCCGCCGGTTGGAAAGGGAAGGACACTGTCCTGGCGCAGCGTGGCGCAGCGTGGCGCAGCCCGGGAAAACCTAGCAAGGAAAAGGCCCAAGCCGGGCGGGAGTGGGAGGGGCAGTCCCTGCCCGTGTTTTCGCCTCTCGGTGACAGCGACGCGTCGCGGACGGCGGTGTTCAAGTTCAAAGTTCACCAGCACCTCCCCAAAGCGAGCTGGCTCGCAAACGCAGTCCAAAGCGCACTCACCACAAACGTTGAGCCAGCCCTCCACTCTGCAGGGGTACTCCAGGAGCAGCTTGTTCTTCCGCGACTCCCGCGACAACGCGGCGGCGGTGGCCATTGTCTTTCTCCTTTTATCTCTGTCGCGACAACGGGCTGAAAACTACTGTCGCCGAAGCCGCAGTGGGAACTGCAGTGAAACACTTAGCACAGGTCACATGTCGGCGGGCACATCACTCAATCACACACACACACTTCACTTCGCACTGACTGCTTGAGGCACACACACTAGTAATCCAAGAGGCGCGCGAGAGCACGTTCGTCGCGGGGCCGGCGCGGTTACAGCGGCGCTGGGCTGCGGCGCAGGCACGTCCTTCCGCGGGGAAGGCTGCCTCGAGACTGAGGAGGAGGAGGAGGACGAGGAGGACGCGGCCGGCCGGGAGGGGCGCGCCGCGGGTGGAGCGGTGGTGGGCGGCAGGCTGCCGGCAGCGCAACGCCACAGGGAATTCCGCTGAATCCAAGATTCCAGACAGAGGTCCTGTTTCACGCACCCGATACCGTAGCATGCGTTGGTGTCGTACGCCAGTGTTTTCCGCCAAATCGACTGATTGATTCGGTTTGCAGCGACGGCGCCCACCGAAGCGACCCGCAGACGCAGCCTGGTTGCCGACGCTCACGCTCGGGACACTGTAAGACTAGGGGTATACGCGCTGTTTAGTGTGGGCGCTTAAGTGCGGCGTGACTGAGCGATACGAATTGACATAGTTTGTGCACTTCGGACGTTGCCTGAGTAGACGAAATGGGCATCATATGGACTCGTATTGTGTGAAATTTAGGCCTGGGGCACAAATGGAAGTGATTTTCGATATCAGCACACAAAATACTGCCGGAATAATCGTCCAACCCAATTTGAAAATTTTGGTCAAATTTTTTTTAGCAGTGATAGTGAATGAGTGGCTTGCAGCCTGCGCGACGCATCGACAACTCCTCCCCCGGGTACAACGCGAGCGGCATCGGCCAACAATCCCCTTCCCCCTCTCGCACAGTCTCTCCCCGGGTACAGCGCACAGAACAGCAACAATGCCTCACGGCTCGGCACGGCTCGGAGCGCTCGGGGCCGAGGGGTCGGCAACTTCCCTTGGCCGTGTACGAGGGAGTATAGGTATATTACCAGTAATATAGGTAATATATGTGTAATATAAAGTAATACAAAGTAATATAGTAATATAGGGGTATTATAGAGGCGAAATTGTGGTATAATATGCAAGTAATATATGGTAATATACAGGTAATATACGGGTAATATAGCCACCGCGTACGAAGTAATATATGAGTTGCCGACCCCTCGCTCGGGGCGCGGCGGTGCAAGCCACAGCTCGGCTCGCACCATAACACTGTCCACCTCGCTTAGATCTGTGTATTTTATTGGGCTATCTATTTTATTTCATACACAATTATAATTAATCCCGAACTACTACCTAGAAGAAAACCAAACGAGTATCATCTGCTTTCATTAACGTTCGTTCAATGAGATTTTTTTTACCAAAGGAGTTAGCGAAAGCTTAGGAGCCGGAGAAGTTATTCCCTGAACGCCCAGGCCCCGGAGGAGTTTCCCCACAAACGCCCAGGCCCCGGAGGAGTTTTCCCCCGAACGCCTAGGCCGTATACGGTTTTTGGTTTGCCGTATAGGGTTTTTGGTTTGCCGTATACTTTTTCTGGTCGGCCGAATACGGTTTTTTGTTTGCCGTATACGGTTTTTTTGTATGCCGTATACGGTTTTTTTGTTTGCCGTATACGTTTTTGGTTTGCCATATACGATTTTTTGTTTGCCGTATGCGGTTTTTCGTGGCTTCGCCCCCCCTCCCCCATTTCCCCTTTTTGCCCGGCGGCGAGAAATATCATGTGAGTGAAACATTTTAAAATAAAGCAAAATTATCACAATAAAACAACACATTGTCTGAAAGGAAGCCCATTAAGAATCACAGATAGTTATGAACACAATTAAAAGCGATGAAAAAGCAAATGAATTAAACGAGAACGTAACTGCGTTGTAGCTACTCCATACTCCATGTAGCTACTCCACGGCAGCTGTGCGCGTCTGGCGGTGCGTCGATACCCCGCGCTGCCCGCCAGCACGGCAGCCGGCTCCGCCGACGTCACTCGGCACTACTCCACGCGCCGCGCGGTTCCACTCATGGACCCCATGGCATTATTATTTAATTTCCCGGCGTGTTGATGTATTTTTCTTGGCGAGTTTAAATTTTGACGGGTGGCACGATGGGACCGTGCCGTTGCCATGAAAATTGTTTTTTCATGTGTTAGCGATTTGCTTAGAACAGAGACGATGTGACTTTGATGAGCCAGATGGTTCAGTTTTGAGGATTGGCACATTTTTCTTGATAGCATCAAGGGATCACGTTTTGATTGTTGCAAATTTATGTTTTTGTAGTTTACGGGCAATTTCCACGATAAATTTAAAAAGAAATTGGAATTTTCGGTTTTTTCATAGTTAATAATTTAGAGATGTTTATTTTGGAATCGCAGCAGCGAGGGGGGAGGGGGAGGAGGAGGAGGAGGAGCCGCAGACCGAAAACAATAAGGGTTCTTGGGAACCCCTACGCTGACGCATTGCATGGTGTTCCGACATTGGAACATCTTGAAGTCTGTCATTAGTAAATGTTCGGCAAAAGGACAATTATTGGCCCCCCTTGACCCCTAGATAGCCGCCTGAAAGGTAGGCAAAGAAAGCACCACTTTGCCCTTGTAAGTAGGCAAAAAGTGCTACTTTGCCCCCCCCCCTTGAGCCGACTCCGGATCCGCCACTGCCATCCGGTCACCCTTTCCACCCTTCACCGTCCGTCAGCTGTTCCCGCCGTCGGCCGGTCCGTTCGGCGGCGGCGGCGCGAAGGTACCAGTGTAGCCGCGCTCTGGCAGAGTGGGGCGTAGCGCTGGCACGCTGTAAGGCCGAGGCCGGGGCCGGAGAGGGGCGTGGGAGGGGTGTGGACCGGCCGGCGGCGCGCGGCGGTGCCCGGCCACGGCGGCCACCCAGCCAGCCAGTTGCTGTTCGGCTCCGCAGCAAGCGGGAACGCTGCCGCCGCGTCGCTCCGCGTTCCGCCCTGACGTACTGACGTGCCCCGCGAGTCTGCGCGCGAACGAGTGGGACGAGTCGCTAGCCGTGCCGCGAGTGCAGTGCTGTGACAGTGTGCCTTCCTTGACAGTGGCGTGGCCATTCCCCGCGCGTGCCCGCCTTGGTGCCCGCCGCCTGCCCGCGGCTCATTTGGATTAACCCGCACGGATCATCTCCATCCGGTATGGTAATCCGCACGCTGCGCAAAGCACGCAGTGTGGCGGTTTGCTGTCTCGCTGTCTCTCTCGCACTCGCGGGGCGTTAGGTGCGAGGGAGACGGAGCGACCGGCTCCGCGAGGACCAAGGATTATCGGCGGGATTAGGCGTGACGCAAGCAGTGCCGTGTCATGCCGCCCAGGAGCAAACAAGGAAAACGGTGGCCGGAGCCGGGATTCGAACCCACGCCGTCCGAGTGTCGAGGCTTGTGCCGTAATGGGTGTAACGCCCGGCGGACCGGCACTTACAGTGGCATCGCAGCGGCCAATGGCAGCGCGAGGCGGACAACGGCAGCAACGGTCGCAAGACGGTCGCACTAAAGCTGGACTAGTGGAACGGGTCTGTGTGTCCCGGTGCATTGCGGTGCCGTACCAGCAGGCAGCAGGCCTTCTCTCTCTCTCTCTTCGTACGGGACGCCCCGTGAGTGCGAGAATGACAGCCTGCAGTGGAGTTGTCCAGGCCGGTGCGACGGTTCGGCGGCCCCGCGCCCGCCCGCCGCCTCGCCCCGGGACTTTCCGATCGTCGCCTCGCACGCCTCCCCCGCGTCTGGGACCGTCTGCAGACTGATTCCGAGAGTCGTTTTCGTCGCTCTGTCTCTCTCGCACCTATAGAGGACGATCATGAGTGCGAGAGAGACAGAGCGACGAAAACGACTCTCGGAATCAGGCTGCTGGGACGCGCTTTCGGACACCCCCGCTTGGCACTCGCCCGAGCACTCGCCCGAAGAAAAAGAAAATCCAGCAAAGCGAACAAGAACAAGACGCAGCCGGGGTTTTGCTTGGCTGTCATTCATTGCCGTTGCCTCGCCGTGCGACGGGCACACGGGTATGGTGGTGGCACGGCGGGCTGATTCCGAGAGTCGTCTTCGTCGCTCTGTCTCTCTCGCACTCATGGGGCGTCCCCTACTGGTGCGAGGGAGGCAGCGACGAAAGCGACTCTCGGAATGAGTCTGCTGGTGGTGGCCACGCTCGGGTTGGGTTCAAGTACCGCGTGACGCGGTCGCGACGCCGTGGCGTCAGGCGGGCTCCGAGGGTATCAGTGACGTCCGTCGCGCCCTGCGCGCTGCGCCCTGCGCCGTGCCCTCTGTGGTGTCATCTGGCAGGGACGCCAGGCCAGGCCGACGCTAGGCCCGACGCCACACATCCTGTACACTGCCCAGTGCCTGGCCGCGCCGTCGCGGCACTAACCATATAGAGCGCACGCCGCGTTTCGCGGGGCATTTCGCGTGATCCGGGACATTTCCCTGCCCGTCCGTCCGTCCGCCGTGTTGCCGTGTCAGATAACGAGGCGAACACACCGGCCGGTGCTCGGGCTGTTTTGGGCCAGTGTCCTTGAGACGGCTTTTCCTTTTGATAACAATAATCCGAATTTAAGAACAGTCCCCTCCGGTCATGCCACACGCCACGCCCCCAGCGGAGGGCCTTTTATCAATAGGGAGCTCGCATGGGCGCTGCACAGTGGGCCAGAAGACCGGTGGAGGCGGCCAAAACTCTAGACGCGTTTTGAGCTCCAGAGTCGCTAAATGGGGCTCAAACCGAGCGTGTGACGACACCAATGGATTCCTCGTTCGGAGAGCAATCCATTTGTGGGGTCACACGTTCGATTCGAGTCTCATTTAGCGACTCTAGAGCTCAAAACGCGTCTCGAATTTTGGCCGCCCGCGCCGGTTGCTGGCCCACTGTGCCCGACATCTCGACTGGCTTGTTGAAGGAAATGCAGTATGCAGCGGGAAGGAGAGATACAGTGCTGCACCACAACAACGAATGTCCTGGGCACAGCCCGGCGCAGCCAGTTCCCCTCACGCAGCCGCGGGAATGTATGGGGCAACGGCAAGGCATACTGCAGGTGTAGATGAATACTGTTGGCACACCTCGCTGTGAAAGGCGGGCAAGCCGCGCACCGCGCAGAGAAACTGGAGCCAAGAAAAAACACAATGGCGGCGCAAAGAGACTGCCGCGTGGTTTGCGCGGTTTGCACGAGAACGGAGGCAGTTCTGCTGATCGAGGAACTGTGAACGTCAGAAGGGATGGATCTGGGATTCAGTGAGAGTCAACCGGGCCTTGTGACGACGGTCCGGAGAGGACGAGTGTTTTGGTCCCGGTCTCTCTCGCACTCATTGGGGCAGCGGTTCCCAACCTTTTCCGGTTCGCGACCCCAAATTTGATACAAAAAATTTCCGCGACCCCCAGGAAAAATTTTGCGACCCCACGCGACCCCTCCTTTAGCATGCCATTGATACAAAGTGCGATAATCCACCTTAGTTTGGGAGCAGTATTGCCGCAAAGTTGATCAAAACGGCCACAAATGTCTTTGAAAAATCGTGTTTTGGGCCGACTTTAAGCAGCCTTTGCGTCTGATCCGAGGTGGTATCTCGTCCTCCCTCAACGGGCATTTGGTCTTTGGACCTTCCTTTAACATGCCTTTGTTACGGAGTGCGATTATCGGCCTTAGTTTGGGAGCAGTATTGTCTCAAAGTGGATCAAAATGGCATTCAAAGGCATTTTATACTGTTTTCATCAACTTTGAGACAATACTGCTCCCAAACTAAGGCCGATAATCGCATTCCGTAACAAAGGCATGCTAAAGGAAGGTCCAAAGACCAAATGCCCGCTGAGGGAGGACGAAATACCGCCTCGGATCAGACGCAAAGGCTGCTTAAAGTCGGCCTAAAACACGAGTTTTCAAAGGCATTTTCGACCGTTTTGAACAATTCTGCCAGCTGGGAAGCAGCCGCGACCCCAGGCGACCCCAACCACCTCGCCGCGACCCTTCGAAATTTTTTCGCGACCCCAAGGTTGGGAACCGCTGCATTGGGGGGAGCCGTAGCCGTGGGCGTGTGAGAGAGACAGCCAGCCTGCCCGCTGAGGATACGTGCCGACGGGGAATGTCACACCAGTGTGCTGGAAAGCAAGCAACGCCTCCCTGCCCCTTTGCATCCGAGTCAAGAGTCAAGCTCCCAGGGCCCCAGAGAACGGCATGCAAGAGTGTGATAGGCCGCCTCCTCCGCTACACTGTATCAGCAACGACTTGCCGCTATCGCCTCGCGGCTCGCGTCTCGAGGAAGCCGCGACAACAAAACAAAAACACGCGTCCAGGGCGGCTCGCCCGGCTCGCCCGGCCCGGCTGCTTTCTTTGAATCGGCCGAACCTCGCCGCTTCGCCACCCGGCTTGAGTCACCGCCTCGCGCGCGTTCGCTCGTCAGCGCCCTCATTTGTCTCTCTCGCACCTGCACGGGATGCTCCGTGAGTGCGAGGGAGACCGACGATAAAGCGCGGTGCGTAATCATCGGCCTAGCCGCTTTTCCTGCTGCGTTGCGTTGCCGACACTGTCAGGCCGTCAGGTCAGGCTAGCCAGCCAGCGCTGCAAAACGACACCGCTCTGCGTTCCGTCGCGCCGTCTCCGTCGCACCCCCGCGGGAAGCACCGTGCGTGCGAGAGAGACGGAATGCTGGGCATGCCGACAGGCAGGCAGGCCTCTGCGTCGCGATACGTATGGCACACTAATGCGATTCAGCCAACGCAAATGTGAAGGCCGCGCGTCGCAGCGTCGTCGCAGCACTGCAAGCAGACTGCAAGGAGGATGTAGTGCACTGGGCGCGTTCCCCGGCGTCCCTGGCGCCGCCCGCGCCGCCCAACCACTACACTCTACAGCACCACGAACAGGCCCGCCACTTTCCCTCTCGACTTTTAGGGTGCCTTAATCTTGTCGAAATAAAACCTCGGCGATCCGGAACACCGACGAGGCTCTGCTGCACTGTAACACCTGTAACCCGCAGCAGCGTGGCGTGACGCAGCCAGCCGGGCCGGCCAGCATTCCTCGCTCTGTCTCTCTCGCACTCGTGGGGCGTTCCTAGTCGGTGCGAGAGAGACAGCGGCGACACGCCGTGCGGAATGAGCCTGGAGCAGCCTAGGGCAGCCTGGGGACAGATCCACGCATCGACGCGGGACTCGCGAGAAGTCTGGAGCCTGGTCGCGCCGCACAGTGGGCCACAAGACCGTTGGAGGCGGCCAAAATTCGAGACGTGTTTTGAGCTCCAGAGTCGCTAAATGGGACTCGAACCGAACGTGTGACCCCACGAATGGATTGCTCTCCGAACGAGGAATCCATTGGTGGGGTCACACGTTTGGTTTGAGTCCTGTTTAGCGACTCTGGGGCTCAAAACGCGTCTCGAATTTTGGCCGCCTCCACCGGTCTTCTGGCCCACTGTACGCTGGCCGCGCCGCGTGTTTGGAGTGGAAAAGCACCCGATCGGCCGGCCCGCTCGCCGCGTCTCTCTCGCACTCATGGGGCGTGCCGGTGGGGTGCGAGAGAGGCGGGCAGGCGGGCTGGCCGGCGAGCCGGAGCGTGTCCGCCCCTGGCACCACGGCGGCCGTAGGCTTGGCCGTAGGGCCGCACGCCGCCACCGCCTTGCAACACAGCAATGTCTCTCTCTCCCTCTCACACACACACGCCTCTGGCACGCCGCGAGCGCGAGAGAGACACAGCGACGAAAGCAGAGTTCGGAATCAGTCTGCGCCCTGGCACACCGCACACCGCTCTGGGAAAGTTTCAAGCAAATAAAGCGCGAGTTGATTAATGTCGGCGGCGCTGCAGATCGGTGCAAATGCACTCACACACACACGCTGTCTCTCTCACACACACGCGCAGGTTGGGCAACTTGCGCGGATTCCCGCTTCCCGCCGCGCGCCGCGCCGCGCTGGCCGGGCGTGGGAACCTCTCCTGGTGTTATGGAGCGGCGGATTGGATAATGGTATCATTTTGTCGCCAGAGCCACAGACGTTGATGCGTGTGTGTATGTGTGTGTGTGTGTGTGTGTGTGTGTGTGTGTGTGTGGTGCGTGCGTGTGAGTGCGGAGCGCCGCGTCCACAGCCCCGCTGCCCTGCTCCGCTTTTACAGCCGTGTCGTGCTGGACGGGGGCCGCGGGGACTTTGGCGGGGGCGTGGCGCGGCGTGGCGCGGCGCGGCAG